TAGGACCGATATTTTAGCGTAACCGCATGAAACGTAAATTATATCGAGTAATTATTAAAGAAAACCAAATACTACTGTTTTATATTCAATTGTTACCTAGTATGATATACGTAACGTGATAATTTTAGACTAGTTTCAAGTGAAGTCCAAAGGAAACGTAATTTTCTTCCCCAAGCATATAATAACACAGATAATTTTTAATTCCTCACGTTACAAACAACCTTTTCTCTCGTCGTCGACGAGGCTGCACATAATAAAATGGCTTGCATTGGTTGACGGTTTTATAATGAAATTGATAAGTTGAACGTTGCCGCCTGATCGGCGATCTCGATGAAAAATCGAATGCGCAAAAATCTAACTACAGTCGGCCGTTATCGGGCTCTTGCACGTTAACTCTCCGGACGGCTGATTTTAATCCGTTAAATGCCATTTCCTTGTACACGTCAGCTGCGAACCGATGAGCTTCGGAGGCATCGAATGTCCGGTGCTTCGCCAGCCATTTACTGCCGGGAGCTAGAGCTCGCCGCTCTCGAGTGCTCTCTTACGCCATTCTGTGCCGATTGCATCGAATTCGCGTTTGTGTGCGCTTATACGCAGTATGTCGCTCGTGTCTGCACTAAAGCGCCGGAGCCCGAACGCCGCGAGTGCATTCGGCCGGATATGAGCGGCGAAGATGAAGGAAAAATTGGAATTACGTAAAATCTGGCTCGGCCGGCTGAAAATGTGCGTGCATTACTGTGTGCGAAATCGTAATAAAAATTCGAAGCCGTATCTCGCGGCAAAATCTATCAGCGTTAAGCTGAGTACGCGCTACGTTGAATCTTCAACAGCTCTCTGTCTCGGGATATGCTCATCGTGCAGTGCTCTCACGGATGCTTAATGATGATATTTCATCTCACTTTGAAGGACTTAATCACATATGAATATGACGAGAGTTCTGATTAAAATTCGGTTCATAAAACGTGATACGGCTCGCAGGTGCAAATAGTATTGTGGCGCGTCCGTACCGGACTAGACCTTCGGCGCGCATCATGGAAGCCGCGAGAGAAGAGACTAAAACTGCATTCATTCGCTCGTAACTCACACGATGTACCTCGGCAAGTATCCCCCATAGTCTCCGTTGCGTACATGCACGTCAGATGACAATCCCCGGGCAGAATGCGGCGGGATAATATTTCGTAGTTTATCCACCGATGGACTCACGCTGGTCGGGAAAGCTCCGAAGGTCGTTCATTACGTTTGCGCGGACTGCTCGTAGCTATCCGCGAGATATCGCGTCCATACCGGTTAAAAGGGAGAGAGAAAGAGGAAAGAAAAGGCGGGTGCGCGCGAACGAAAGGGAAAAAGGGAAATATTCGAGAGCGAACGCGGCCGAACCACCCCCCAGCGCGAGAGGATTCCCCATCCGCGAAGCTCGTAAATCCTACCGTTGCGGCACCCGTTCGTAAACTCGTTTCGTCGTGGCCGTGGCGTGACGCTGCGTTATAATTAACATAGGCTGATGCGCGGTATAAATTACAATTATACGTGATTTACAGGACGCGATAACCGCGGGTCCGGCCCCTCCGACTCTCTTCGCATCTTCTCCTCTCCCTCGTTCACCGCCACACCCCGTGCGCTTTTAAAGCTTCTCAACCCCCGGGCGGTATCGTCGTCTATTTCCGCGTGCATCACGGATGACCCTCTTCACAGCGAACTGCTAAATAAACATGTCCGTGCTAAACCGCGACGCGTTGCGTGCGCTGTCGTATTAAAGGCGATGTTAAGAGTCCCGCTTGTAACGCCTCCGCGTTCTCACGTTGCGCCAACGCGCCCGCGTTGACTGGTGCACCAGCAAGGCAATGCCTTCGCGCATCGTGCATTTCAAACCCACCATCTGTGAAGCGTCTTGCCTGCGCGACGAAATTCGTGGGAAAACTTTAACGTGTTCACGACCACCAGTCGCATATGTGATTTTTTCCAGATAACAGCGGAGCGCGTACAATTCGTGTTTTATCTTATATCTAGAGAGTGAATATCCTCGGACGTGTCAGAAATAAAATTTAAAAAAAAATGGAAATACGCGGAAACGTATCTTGGATTCGGGAATACAATGTTACGGAGCTTAATCAGCGTTTCTCCGGAGATAGATTTTCCTACAAATATAATTTCACTTCAAAATTTAAAGATTTTCCTCCCGTTTTTTTTTACATGAACGCGACAAAATAAACCGACACGACGAAAATTTCAGCGAACGCACGGAAGCCCTTCCAATTTTGCGAAGAAACTCCTGACGGTCTATCCTATAATGCAAATTCGTAACTAGATCCAGATAGCCGAGTAAAACTGAACCTAAGACACGTCGACGGTTTCACAGCGTCGGTTTGCATGTCTGTAAATGTATGTGCCAGGCCGTACCGAGGTCGAGTCACGTGCTAGTCAACGACAGCGGGAGTCCTCTTAATTATGCCACCCAGTTCTGCACGAGACACAATATGGGAGTTGCGGTTAATAATTTCAGCTTTGCTGAAACGTATGCCAAACTTCTGGAAGAATTCAGCCGGTACCAGGAATGCCTTAAGGTTGTATTGTTATCACGCTAAGTGTAAGTAATTGTCGCTGCATATATAGTTGCAAATTACATGTCTCCTTATCGCAATCGAATTGCATGCAAAATATCATTGATATTGGAAATAAAACTCCTCGTGATTTCAATTTATTTACTCCGCAAGCCTAATTATGTATTTTATATAGTCTTCAATTTAAAATCTCTTTTCTTATATTTATAGTTTTATGTACTTTTAATTATCCGCTCATTATTCAAACAGAGATTTAAGAGTTCGACTTCATGGCTGCTACATTTTCTAATATGTCTTTTACTAGACAAATTAATCTCAATTTACGATATCTACTGCGATATTTTATTTTTTCACAGACTGAGACGCGCGGTCGTTGCAAATATCTTAATTCAAAGACAGAATTTACTTTAGGCGCATGATTCGCGTGTAATTGCCGGAGATCGTTTGCGAGGAAACGTCTATCTGCCAGGCGGCTACTGATCGTTCTCGTCAATTCGCAATAGTCACGCACAGCGGTCGTGCCATCGCGGACAATATCAACGTTTTTATTATGACAGCTGGTAACCCGACCGGTAAACTCCGAAAGCAGACGTGCCATTACGCGTTTAAAGCAATTTCCGGAAATCCCTCGTGACGTTCGACAAATGGACTGGAGTCATAAATAGTTCCGCAGTTCTGGGCTGAAGCACGACGAGCACCCATGCCATTCCATCTCTCCCTTTCTCTTTCCCCCTCGCTCTCACCTCTCTCCTTCCCTGAACGTTCCGTGAAAGATTAATGCGAATTTTATTATTACGACTCTTATATGTACGACACTCTAACTCAGAAAAGACCACTTCACCATAACGTTTCCATCGTTATTATTGAACTTATCCTCGCTTGTCAGAATTACGAAGCCTCTATAATGTCGCAGGGTTACGGAGGTAACTTTCCAAGTATTTATGTATTTGATAGAGGCATCCATCGTCATTAGAAACAAACTGTTCGTTTGTCATGAATCATAGATGCCAAAGAATCGTAATATTTAATCAAAGATTAAACGCAACAACTGATTACAAAAGGAAGAAGTGCGATCATTATTGGCATGGATATAAAAAGGGGAAAAATATTTTCATTTATCAATTAATCAAAGGTCAAATTTACAAATTAATCTAACTAAAACAAAACAGGTAAAACTCATCGCGTTTTCCGCTCTTTTAATTGTATTATTGATTCTTACTTGAATACGAAAACAGTGAAATA